AGGATGCTGCAGCTTGGCCGGCCGCTGGCCGTGCTTCCCCCGCACTGCTGCGCCTTTGGAGAAGGGCTCTCTCTCCGCAGGCTGGCTCCCCTCCCTTCCCTCGCTCCCCTGGGGACCCCGCTTTCCAAGCGAGCCCCTTCTCCCCCCCCCTCGGGGCTGGCTGCTGTGTAGGCGTTTTCCCTTGGTTACCTGGCCGGTCTGCATTTCTAACCTCACGCTGCTGCTTAAAGGACAATTTGCAATGTCAGGGCAGCTTAATCTTTCAGTCACAAATTTTGGCTGCGCATCTCGTGACTGCTGGCTGCAAGCTGTAATTTTCTAAATATATGTATATTATTTTTTGCATTTACAGGCAAGCAAACCAAAGAAAACGGCTTCTTGTCCTCCGATTCTGCTCTCATTTGGGATTTGATTTGCATCATCTCTGAGCCCATTTAAAAAAAAAAAAAAGAAAAGGCAAACCAAACCCACACAAAACATGTTGTGCGGAAGGACTTCCACTCCCTGGCTGTGCTATTAACGTTAGCCATCGGGAAGAGCCTTTGGGGGCTGCAGGATCTCGCCACTCTGATGCTGCTGCTAAAGGTTTTGGTGCAGGGAGACAAAACTGCTGCCTCTTCCATCCACTGATCTCTTAACATCTGCATTTTGCTGCTGCTGTGCTCCGTCTCACACCCTCTCTCCGTGGACTGATTTTTTTTATTTTTTTTTTTTTTTTCCCTTTTTGTGGTGGGGAGGACAAGCGGAAAATCAAGGCATCGCATCGAGAGGAGCGAAATTGCGTTTATATCTTGTGCTCTGGTGGATCTGTTTTGAGGTTAATCTTTTTGGAAAAGAAAACATGACGTCGCCAGCAAAATTCAAAAAGGATAAGGAGATCATAGCTGAATATGACACTCAAGTTAAAGGTAGGAGCGGTTTTATTTTCATCTCTTTTGCTGTTGCAGTCCTGACTTGCAATTGTAGGAGTTTGCAGTAGATGTTTGGGTGGGGAAGGGGGAAATCATTTGCAGATTGCCTGGGATTTGCAGGGCTTTTTCATAATACAATGCTGGATCGGGTTTGCAGTGCTTTTTCTCGTCCCCGTGGGGTGGATTCTTACTATGGTATTGCCGTTTTAAGGTATCAGGGTAAGGGCTTTTTTACGGAATATAACAAATCTTTGAGTTCTGAGAGATCCGTATTTTTCTGTCTGCTGTTCTGAAATATGGCTTTGCATTTGAAATATGAGAGGCGGTTAATTGCTTTTTAATCCTCCTCCCATCAGGGGAATCTTTTAAAAAAATCTGTGTAGTGTCAGAAGAGCATATTTCCACTGCTAGTAATGGGGACTGTGCTGAGGGTCCCTGTAAAGCTGTTTGTGCTAGAAAGTTCCATTATTCAGGATATTGCTCTTGGTGAGTCCATAATATTACTGTCTGGTTTTTCTTACTGTGCTCCTGAGTGTTAACACCTTAAGGTTGCGGGGTGCGTGTGTGTATACACACACGTGTATGCATACATACACAAATGATTAGAACTAATGCATCAGTGTTATTTCCGTCGTCATAAGGAAGGCAATAAAGAGTCAGAGGCATATTTGCAATGGTCCTGCAAGTCTTCTGCAGAATTCAGTTGGCTGGGTTTCAGGCTATCATGTGCCCTAGGTAAAAAAAAAAAAAGAAGAAAGGTGAAATGTCTACTTAGATTCATATTTTTGCAAGTTTTCAAGATAATGCTTATTAAAAAAAATAATTATGGCTTGATATATTACTGTTAGGAAGTTATGAGATTTAGTGATTTTACCTAATCGGTTAAAACTTGCTTGGTATGCTCATAGCATGTAGGAAAGATGGCCTTTGGGCAGGGTTGATTGAGTTAAATCAATATGACTTAAAAAAATGTGATTTAAATCTGAGTAGGAAACCTAGATTAAATCTGACAATTAAAATACTGTTTTGCAATTATGTACTCAGTTATTTTTCCTACTGGGGGGCTGCTCACTGGTTGCAGATCATTAAAACATGTCGTCCTACAAGGTGCATGTCCTACACTGACCCTAGTACTCTGCTCCTAGAAGTAGTTTGGACATTTATGTTACAAATGCTTACCTGAGCAAATATAAAGCTGGGTAGGAGTTTATTTTGATTTTTTTTTTTTTAATTTTTAGGTTCTTAAAGTTAGAAATGGAGAAGAGTGTATTCCTTTTTTAACAGTTTAGTTTCTGTTCCTGTTTTCTAGCTGCCTTTGGAAATGGAAATTGAAGTCAGTGTAAGATTAGAGGCTTATATGTTCTTTCATTATTTACCCCATCAAAATGTGCGTGATAGTTACAAGCTTGTAGTCACAATATTTCTGAATTGAATGCAATAATAAGATACAAGGCTTTAGAATTAGTAAAGCGCATCTTCTCACCTCTCAGTTTTTTCATGCATGAGGAAAGAAAAGAAATCTTTCCTTTTCAAAAAAGAGACCAACAAGCTGGGTAAAATGGAAACGAGCCTTCCCTGTGTGCAGAGACTGCTCCTGCCAAAACGCCGCTCATCTCTTCAGGTGCTTATGCAGAGACCCAGCAATTCGCCTCTGAATGTAGTCCCGAAAGTGAACTGTTGTAGTGGCACATAGGAACATTTTATAAGGCAAAAAATCTATCTTAAACGTGTGAGGTTAAGACGACTGGAACTGTGTAAATGGATCAGGAGGAGCTGGGAGAAGGGGGTTTCCTTCCTGAGTTAGTGGCGAGGGCAGCTCTGAGTTTGTGTCGCGATACGCATCCCTCTCGCGGTTCGGCTTTCCCTGCGCCGGGGACTCCAGAAGTGGCTACCGGGAGGTGCTAATCCATCTCCTGCTCTCCTCTTGAGAGGGAGGTGTGGATGGGCCAAAGAGCTCAAAAATACACATGGCGGTGCGGTAACAGGCCTCTCCCCCATCACCTCATTTGTTTCAAAGCCCAGGGGGGAGCTTCCCTCCTCCACCTGGCTTCAGCCTTTCACAAGCTGCTTTGGCAATGGGGATCATCATCCCTCTGCTTTTAGGGATCACGTTTGGGGGGAGACTTTGAAGTTATACTCTGCTCTTAAAATTTTACGAAACTTGCTTTACATCCCAGAGATGCCCTGGTTCTGAGTTGGATAGTGATGTGGCCCTACAGGGAAGCTCTCACGACTGGTAAGACTTCTCTAATTCCAGCGATGTGCTGGTCTCTCTACCGCTCTGAGAAGATGAGGTGGTACCAAAAGCACACTTAAATCCAAAAGTGTGGTGCTGCCTAATCATTAAATGTACCATGGTCCTCGCATAAAATTTTTGGTGTCCTGATCAAATTCTGACTTTAACTGTGGGAACTGTTTAGAAATGGTGTTAACTCTGATTATGGGTTGTTTGGTATCTTTTCTCTCGTGTTGTGAAATGATACCATGAAGCAGTTGCTGTGGGACTGAGATGAATCAGGTATTGGCATGCTACATAAGTTGTAAGGTATCATCTGTTTCTCAGATGAGAAAACTCTGATATTTTTTACTGGCATTTAGAAATTTACTGCATTTCTTTGCTGTGCTCCATTCTGGCTGTGCGTTGGAAGCAGTGTTTAGAGGTTTCCTTTAAAACCATTAACCCACAAACATGTACTTAAGCACTTAAAGTTATTACTAATGCAATGATTGAGCTTTGTTTAAAAATTTAATAGTCTTAAGTTGTTAATCAAAAACTATTTAAAGAATAGTTTGCTTATGGTTAACATGGTTAATAGACCATTGTTAGGCAAAAATTTTAATTTTCTGTTGCTGAATGAACTCGGTAATTTTTATTGTACAAGGTGCGTAGGGGCGACCAGGTGTTGACAAGTGAAAGTTTTTGTTTTCCCGTGGCTGTGAGCTATTGATATTTGTTGTCTTCTTCCGACTGGCAGATCTTTGCCTCTTTTGGCTTGGAGTTAGCTCTTCCCGTGGTTTGTGCAGGCAGCTATTGGTGGGGGAGATGAACACAAGGATGATGTGAACTTCTGAAGATGAAGACTGTTTACCTCTTACGCATCAAACTTTCTGCGCAGCGGTCAGGGGACGTGGAGGGAGCGATGTGTTTCTTCCCGATTACTGGTGCAGCGTGGCTGAGGACAAGCTTTGTGGTCTGTAGGTCCTGGGGCAGTGCGTCCATCCCTGGAGGTTGCTGGAACCAGACTGGATACAGCCTGGAGTTACTCGGTCTGACCGTACGGCTGCCCACCGCAGGTTGGGGTGCATGACCTCTTGAGCTCCCCCCCCAACCTGAATCGTCCAATGCTCTCTGGTATCTGGAGGTTCATTACAAACTCGCTGTCTTCTGCAGAACTGAATTAACCTACCGAGGTGTCCAGACGGGGCGGCTTTCCTCAAGAACTACGTTCACCTTGAGTCTTTTGCCTTTAGATGATGCAGGCCAATCTGCGCAGTGTTTGGTTGCATGGCTGTGCTATCTGCACTCGAATGCCCCACGCTGTTGGCGAGGAGAGGAGAGGTTGCCAATGTTTGTGGGCTCTTCTTGCAAGACTTGTTGAGAGTGCTCCTCTCTTTGAAGAAACTCTGCAATGGCTGCGTGTCATGCGGTAGGAATTCTCCTGACAAGATGACATGGGGTCGGCAGGGGAGGGAAGTGCTGCTTTGATACGTTTCTGTACCATGTGCTCACAAAGATTATGAGTTCTGTGAAGCTGGAAAGTGAGATTCTGTGGTCTCCATATGGAGCCTTTGATATCTCAAGCTCATCCCCTTGTCTGGATTGTCTCTCCCAATTCCTTTGTGCAAGTTGCGGTAAAGCAGAGATAATTAATTTATGCTGTGCAGTGTGTTCCATGTGAGATTCGGATGCTGCCTATCTGTGCCCGACCAAGGACTGTCAGACTGTTTTTTGGTTTAATGTGTTAAAGTGGAGTGTACATTTGCTGAGGAAAGAAAAGCCAGTGATTTATCTCTTAATTCTTCTTTTCTTCCTCCTCATGTCCCATGAGAGCCTTATATTTAATTAGTTTGTATAAAGCTTCAGTAAATAGCTTCATGGTTTGGGCTACAGAAATTTAATACTGAAATTTTTTACACAGCGAGGGTTTGTAAGCCACTTCTGTCCTTGGGTAGTCTCTAGCAAAGGTTAAAATGCATCTCTTGCAGATCTTGCAGCACAGTCCAAAAAGCGCTAGGAATATGAAAAATAGATGAGGTGGTTTATAGCAGGAGCGAGCACAGCACAGAGGTGGCTCTGTGGTTATTTACCGGAGTGCGTCTTCAACTCAGAGAAGATGCCTGATAAGAAGAACTTTGGGCAAGCCTCCCAGCTGCCATCGGATTCAGGCTGCTATAATGTCTAAAACTTTCTTTTTCCTCTCCCCAAAACTGGTGATAAATTTCAGATAAGTCCCTTTTTCCTCTCTGGATTGAACGGCTGATAGTGTATTTGATCTGATTGTCATCTTTGGCCTTAAATGCTGCTTAAAAATGCCTTAAATGTTGCATACAAACGAAATTTGTATGCTACATCTTCTGAGCACCTTGAGTGATGGTCGGCAGTTTTCAACGCCGGTAGACTCTTGGGAGTGGTACAGACCTTCTCTGTGTGAAAGATCTCAGAAGTGACTGGGTCAGCGGCTGCAATTTTGGGGATAGGAAGTGTGGTGCTTTTGGTGCGATTTGAAACAAAATTGGGATTTCTCTCAAGGGCTGAAAATATTCTTGTTAACACTGCACGTGCAGCACTTGTCTAGAAAGCAGTTGTTTGTAGAACTATCTTTAGAATTTTTAGATCAGTAAATTGAAATCTCTGCAACTTGTTGCTAAACCTGTGCACCTGGGGATTTTCAGTGCGGTTGATGTTACGTATGCACGATGATTTATCTTCTGGGTTCGTCTTCTGTTCGGGTGACCAAGTTGGTCACTGCATGCTATGGCCCTGTGTGCAGATCCCA